AGAACAAACAAGTTCGTCCTGGAGAGGGCGAAGTCAGGCTGCTCCTTGGAGGCAAGGATTCTGGGGCTTCGTCTGACATACTTTGGGCATGTTGCAAGGTGGGACCAGTCCTTGCAGAGGGACATCATGCTTGGAAGGGTGGAGGGACAGCGCAGGAGAGGAAGACCTTTGATGAGATGGATTGATTTAGTTACTGTAGTAACGGGGGTAGGTGTGTCAGAGACAATAAGATTGACAAGGGATACAGCAGGGTTTAGGGCTGTTGTACATAGGGTCACTATGAGTTGCCTCAATGAGTCACACGCAACTCAACAGCGCATAACAACAACAACAACAAAACCCCGTGGAGGGTCAGCTATGGGCTGGTTCTGACTTAACTGTACTTGGCAACAAGAAAAGCCTAGCGCAAGGGAGCTCTGATGGCCTAATGGTAAAAAGCTGAGCCTCCAATCTCGAAGGCATGCAGTTTGAATCCACCAGCAGCTCTGTGGGACAAGGATGGGCATTCTCCTCTTGTGTGATTAACTGCCCCTAAAAATTCACTGGATGGTCAGCTGGGGGTCGATTCTGACTTGACAGTGCAAAACAACAAAGCCCACTCAAGGAACCATGGTGGCACAGTATTTTATGAGTTAGGCTGCCATCCAGACACTGGTGGCCTGACTTGTACCATCTGCTCTGTGGGTGGAAGATGAGGCAGTCTTCTCCCATAAAGATTTTCCCCCCAGTGTTTTATTTCACAACAGCAAAAACAAACCTTTCAAAATACCACGGAGCAGAGTTTTTACTATTATTTTAATAGTTAATAATATTTATAGTTTTTCATAGTATGAACAAAGAACTGATTTCTCCCAAAGCAAGCTTCTAGAATTTCCTAAAAAAATCATGATCCAGTAGAAAAATGAAGATTTTTTTTTCTTTTTAAAAAGGAACATATGAAGAGTAGCTAGATCTCAATTTTTTTATTAATTTCAATGAAAATTTACAGAGACTTTGGATTTCCATTCATTTATTGTTGCACTTTTCTCCCCTCCCAACCCTCCCCCCCCCAGTACACGCCCCTCTTAGAAAAGTAAAAGAAAAATTCTTTCATTGTTTTACAATCCCTCCCCCCAGGTCCACTCCACTATGCAGTGGGAAGCAGATCTTAACAACTCAGTTTCTTTATAAAGTTCTCTTAAGCATCTAAGTCAGTTTTTTAAGGCTTAAAGACAAGGATTGCCCTTTTACTTAGATGTTTTTTCCTCTGTTATTATCATATTGACTTACTCTCTTAACCTTGCACAGTTTCATCCTTACATAAGCATTGAGAACCCAGTGAACTCCAAACACCTGTTTTTTTAATTCTTCCTGTCTTGGAGCTGTATGGTACTTCATCCTACAATTAAACTGCAGCTGACTTGGCCATGAGCCTGTTTTTCCCCTTCACGAACATGAATAGCCTTGCACTTACCCTGTATGAGTGTATCCTTTGAGAAAAAGGGCCCAGCAGTGGTCTTAGAGTAGGGTTTTTCAGCATTACTTAGTTTTTGTCAAACTTTCACATTAAAAAAGTGAAAATACAATGATCAGGGGAATTTTGAGAACTGAGGAAGAATGTGAACAATCTGAAGGAAGAAGGCCTGGCATAGGGCAGCCACGTCTGATAAAGCACTGTGCATTGGCCTGACTCTGGATGCAAGTCAGCCAGACCCACTCTCAAGCTGCTTGAGTTTCTCCTGGAGTCCCTGGATCACCACCATGAGCTACACAAACAGTCTCATGAAGATTTATAGCCTTGGAAACCTAAATGGAGATCCACTATGTGTTGGAATCAACTCAGAAACAGGGAGTTAGCTAGCATAAGCCTGACCAACACAATGCTCTCCTCTGGTGCTGGGAAGGAGCAGAATAGGAAAACTGGTTTGGCTTTGGGCCCTTGACCTTGGGCAGATCACATCCCTTGTCTGGGATTAAGCCTTGTATTCTGTGAAGAGGACTAACTGGCATAACTGGAGATTATAGTGGTTCCATTCTGTGATCATCTCTAGAAATAATTTTTAAGTCCCTGTCAGGGGACAAAAATGACACAAACCCGATTCTTGCCCTTGATTAATTTACAATCCAGTGGAATTAACAACTCCACTACTTTCTTGATCTATAACATAAACAAGCATAGGAAAAAAATCAAAACAATTGCCATGAAGTCGACTCTAACTCATGGGACCCCATGTGTGTCTAACATAGTCACTCTATAAATACAGCACAGTATCTTTGCCAGGTCCTACGAGAGCTCTGGTAGCCTAGTAGGTAAGAAGTTGTGTTGTCAGCCCAAAGGCAGACAGTTCAAATCCACCAGCTTCTCCATGGGAGAAATATAGTCAATATCAGCTATGAGTCAATTCCAACTCGACGGCACCCAACAACATTAGGCCTTACCCAGGAGGTAAAAACTCACTCTTTAAAGTGCTCAACAGCAAGGATTGTCAGTTTAAAGAATACGGTGTACCTGATCCAAACCATGGTCTGTTCAGTTGCTTTGTATGCATCTGAAAGTTGGATAATGAATAAAGAAGACCAAAGAATGAATTGCTTTGAATTGTGGTAGTGGAGAAGAGCATTACATTACTTATACCATGGATTGCCAAAACAACAAACAGATCTTTCTTGAAGTAGATGAAATATCCCATGGACTGCCAAAAAGAACAAACAAATTCATGTCTTGGAGGAAGCACCAGAGTGCTCCTTAGAGGCAAGGAAGGTTCCAAGAAACTTGGATCACATCCTTTGGGCATGTCGTCAGGAAAGCCTGTCCTTGGAAAAACACATCATGCTTGGAAAGGTCAGCGTAAAAGGAGCAGATACGGTGTAGGGGAGGCTGAGTCAGACTTCTTTCTGCTTCATAAAGGGGAACTGCCCCCATCAGTAATATCCATAGCCCCAAACAAATAGCTGCTTGGTCAGATATGTCACCCCTCATGCTCCTACACCTATCTAGTAATCATTGGGTCTCAATGTTGCAGCAAGACTCAAAGACTACTCACACTTGTGGAGTTTATTAGGGAAGTAGGTTGGAGAGTGTGGGAGACAAAGAATATCATCCAGTGCAAATCCAAGTTTAGTTTAGCAGCCCCAAGCCAGATTAACAAAGCACAGTTCCTCAGTTAGTTAAAGTCCAGATTCAGTTCCACAGCACAAATGCAAAAAGCTTCTAGTCTCCTCAGTCATCCAGCAAACTTTAACTTACAGCAGATACAAATGAGCTTCAGTCACCCAGCAACAAAACCTTTACCTCTGGTCTTTCTCTCCAGGGTTCCTCTGGTTACATCTTGCCACAGTGTTTTTACAGCAGTGCCCTGCTCTCTGCACCACCGTCACTGCTGTTTCTCGCCAGATGGACATCCTGCTCTTACATTGGTCCCACAGCTATTGATGTTTTACCGGACCATGTGTCTGCAGTAAGGTAGCTGGAGACCAACACAGTGGCTAGGAAAGCCCATTTTCAAGGGTTCTGACACCTGAAAACAGTAAAAAAGAAGACCCTTAACTAGATAGATTGACACAGTGACTGTGGCACTGAAATATCAGAGATGGTGAGGATATTGCAGGATAGGGCAAGGTTCAGATCTGTTGTTCATAGGGTCACTATGAGTGATAGCCCTCTCTGAGAGCACCTAACCCCAACCAGGAGAATATGATTGATCTTAGACTTGTTACGCTTGTATCTCCAGCAGTGGTGAGAGGTTCTGATGAGCCAAACTTAAGTGCTCCCTTTCCCTCACTTACGCAGGGATCAGCACACCGTGCTGTGTCTGGCCTCTAGCCACGTCTTTCTCTTTGTGGGTAGCTTTCTTCCCTGGAGAGAGTCGTCTGTGTGTGACCTTGGATTACTAGCACCCAGCCCTAACTGGCCCAGCACATTAGCTTGTCCAAAACAATCATAATCAGCTCGTTTGCTCTGGTATATGCTGCAAGCTATCAGCAGAATGACCTCTGCTATGACTCATGATTAGTTTTGTCTTGACCATAATCTCACTAAAACAACTGAAGCAAAATAAAAAGCAATGTCCTTTCCTGTCTCCCGAACCCATGGCACTCACAGCTCGGGGCAGAGCTAGCCAGATGCTGTGGTGGAGAAGGGCCAGACTGGTTTCTCTTCCTTCCTGTGCCCTGATTCTGCCTTTGCCTATCCTCTTCCTTTCCCGTGACATCTGTATTCCCCTCTGTCTCTTCTATTTTATGACACACTCAGGTGCCCCATCCTGAAAACACCCCCTTCTTGAAACTACTCCTTCCATTTGTAAGAGTGAGGCAGCCTGGGGAGGAGAAAAAACTTAAAGCTAGGACACTCAGCTTAAATCATGTGTGTATGCCTTACTGGCTAATATGACCTTCATAAAATGACAGACTCTCATTGAGCCTCTGTTTCCTCCTATTTGAAGAAACTTCATAACTCACTGTGATAGAGTTGAGTCTGATTCAGCAATCCTCCATCAGTGTCCTGGGTTGTAAATCTTTACAGGAGGAGACTGCCCAACTTTCTCCTGTGGAGTGGCTGGTGGATTTGAACTGCCAACCTTTTGGTTAGCAGTCCAGCGTATTACACTCTGTGCCATCAGGGCTCCATTTAAGATGCGTTCTTGCTGTTTGTTGTTATGTGCTGTTAAGTCACCTGTGACTCCTGTGTACAGCAACTCTGCAGCCTGCCTTGTCCTGAGCCGGTCTCGCTAACTCCAACACACCTACCCTCATTGTCCTAATGACTGTATCAATCCATCTCATCTGGGATTTTCCTCTCCTGCTTTGTTTAGGAGTATTCTTGTTTAGGACTTACTTAAGTTCTACCTGTTTTGCAGAGTGGTTGTAAGGGGTCAGTGTCCCTAGCCTTAAGTACATGGCAGGTTCTCAGTGAGAGTTCTGTAACATTGTCAACCTCTACCCTTCTCCAGCTCCTTTCCTCTTCATTGTCCCCCTGGCCTCTGACCATGTACTCTCTGAATTCTGGCTTCTTTTCTGTTCAGGACCTCATGTATTCCAGCCCAGTGGACACAGCCAGGAAGGTACTGATTGTTTTGAAGACATTTCTGAAAAGGAATGAAGATGTCCAAGTGGGTGGTCTCATCCGAGGCCACTTCCTGATGACTTTACAGCATCTCCTGCTGGAGTACAGACCCTCCAGCCCAGGTCAGTATGCAGGTCCTTCAGGTACATTTTGACCGGAAAGTTCCAACCTGGTTGGGAAGTCAACAGTGGCAGATCTGCCTTGCTGAGTTGTCCTCTAGGAAAGAGAATCAGGACTTTCCTTTAAAAACGAAAAACCAGTGCAGTGAGACATCAAGTCAGACATCACCTCCTTTCTGTCAGTGGAAGAGTAGGTGACAAGCAGGGTTGGAATCTGTATGTGTGCTGAGTATGTTTAATTATCTTTAATTTCTATGTGTTCTAAGGGTGGGTGTGTTTGATGTTCCCGCCTTTCACGGCGTGTAGTTAGAGCTATTTACCACAGAGTGGCTGCTCCCAGATGGGCAGAGGAAACATGAGGGAGGTAGGGAAGGTCCAGCAGCTGGCAGAGCTGGGATGACAGAAGATCTGTGATGTGTTGAAAGCTCCCAGAAAGACCCAGGAGGATAGTCTCCAAATCTGAGTGAGACTCTCTGGAATCAGGGGAGCTTGAACTTTGGAATGTTATGAAGAGTGAAAATTGGAATTGTTTTTTCTTTTCCTGTTTTTAGTGAGGCTAGAATTTTTTACAAAATTTGCAAGCAACTAAGAGACAGTAGCCTTCCTCTATGGAAGGACTGGTTTGGAGGTAAACTTAAGAATGTTTAGAAAAACTGATCTTTTCTTTAAACGGAAAGATATGTTCAGTGGAGGATAACATTTAGGAACTGCGAAGTTTACCAGAAATAGAGTGGGAAGGCCATGGGTGTTGGATTCAAGTCTGTGCCCTGACACTGGCTGTGGAGCCTTGAAGAAGTCATTCAGCTTCCCTGTGCCTTCTTTTCTTAACTGCAAACTGGGACTCAAAATCAGTGCTTCATGTGATTTTGGGGTGTGGGTGTTTTTTTTTAAATTTAGATGCCCTGTTATCAATTGTGCTTAGCCATACATGTTCATATCCTTGAAAATGCATCATGGAACTGTTGCAGCCTAGAAGACACAAATTTAATTAACAAGTTAAAAGTACATAAGTCAAAAATTAAAAGCAATAATATTCCAAGTAGAGGTTCTAACAGTGGCACAAATAAAGTTACAGATGGAAGGTAGTTCTTAAAAGGCTTACTGACTAGCACTTTGTCTATTATAGTATAAAGGTTAGGAACCACAAGCTGTAGAGGCTCAACTATGTCATTTATTGTTCTTAAATCCTGGACCAAATTCCATCTACCACTGGGTTGTTTTATAGCTCAGAAGTCCTCATGCAAGGCAGAGGTGAAGTAAGGTACTGCTTATGAGATTTTCCGTCAATTCCAACAACTAAGAAATAGAAGAGTTGGGACCTCAGAAGGCTTTTAGGACCAAATAATTGGCTCTTGTGTCCAGGAGAAAATGAATATACTTACCAGTAATGTTAGTGCTTACCCATAGCTCTTCTGGGAGGATCTATATCATTGAAGCATCCTCCTTTGTTTCCAGCTGGGAGGTGGGGCCTCTCAGTCCTGTCAGCCATGAGGACCTGATGTGGGCCACCCTTGGCCATGTGTCCTTCAGATCCACACTTAAAGAAAATGAGTGGGAGCTTCCTCTCTACTCCCTTGCCTATTGTGGCTCTCATCTGTGAGACTGTCTATTGAAGTGGCCCAGGTTTCCAGAGTGGAAGCAATTCTGACCTCCTTTATTACCTTTGGGTGGCATTGTTTATGAGTAAGACTTCCTTTTCCTGACACAGGCCGTAAACTGGCAGGAATAGCTGCCCCAATAATTTTGGCCATTCTCTGGTCTTTTCCCTCTAGATTCCAGTTGTTAAAAGAGGAAAAAATTTAAACAAATATATAACAAATAATTTTCAACAATATAATCTTTTTTTTTCACTATAAACACTTCTTGTTAAAACTTTATTGAAAGTCCTACTAGAGCTGTAAGACAAGAGAAGGAAATAAGAGGTTTCAACATTAACAACGTGGAGGTAAAATTGTCACTATATGCAGGTGATATGACAGTGTTTGGTTCCAGTTGTTTCTGGATAATCTTCAGCAGGATCTTGCTTATGTGTAGTAATAGTGATATCACTTGATAATTTTCACCCTTTTCTGGAATGGGAATAAATAGAGATCTTTTCCAGTCAATTGGCCAGGTAGTTGTCCTCCAAACAATATAATTTTTTAAGTTTAAGGCTAGAAATATTATCAATATGATCATTTCCAATCCAGAGATACATGTTCCAATGCAGTTCCTATTTTCCATAAATGGTTTTGGTAAGAAGAATATTGTAAATGTGGATACAGTTCCACTATTCCTCTTCCATGCTGTGATATAGTGTTATTTGTATGAGCAGTTATAAATCCATTGCTTCCTTACTCTGACTTAAATTTTTTTAATTTAAATTTATTATTAATTTCAGTAAAAATTTACAGAGACTTTGGATTTCCATTCATTCATTGTTGCACATTTCTCCCCTCCCAACTCTCCACTCCAGAACACTACCCTCTTGGAAAAGTAAAGCAAAAATTCTTTCATTGTTTTACAAACCCTCCCCCAGGTCTACTCCACCATGTAGCCTTCGCTCTAGACTCCTGTCATGATACCTAATCACATATCCCTTTTAAACAGTTTTCTCCCTCATTTCTTTCAATGCAGTATACATTATTGACTCCATCTTTCTCAATCTCTCCCCAACCCCAAGGTCAGTCCTGTTTTACAACAGAGACACACACCATGCAGTCTTTGTCCTTTTGTGACTGAGATACTTCACTCAGCATAATGTCCTCCAGAGTCACCCATTTTGAATAATATTGCATTAATTCCTTGTTTTTCAGTGCAGCATAGTATTCCATTGTGTGAATATGCCACAGCTTCTCCATCCATTCATTTATCGATGGGCACTTAGGTTGTTTCCAACTCCTTGCTATTGTGAACAAAGCTGCAGTAAACATGAGTGTGCATATATCTGCTTGGATGTCAGTTATGGTCTCTTTGGGGTATATTCCCAGTAGTGGAATTTCTGGGTCAAATGGTATCTCTATTTGCAACTTTTTGAGAAAGCGCCATACTGCCTCCCACAGTGGTTGCACCATTTTACCCTCCCACCAACAGTGAATAAGGGTTCCAATCTCTCCACAACCTCGCCGGCATTTGTTGCTTGCTGTTCTGTTAAATTTTGCTTTTCTGACTGGGGTGACATGATATCTCATAGTTGTTTTAGCTTCATGTGGTTGTTAAAGAGGTTAGGCAACATGAATTCCTGGTAGCCACCCTACAGTTAGAAAACATGTTGTTCTTGTTATGTGCCATCTAGTCCCCTGCAACTCATAGTAACCATACGTACGTACAAAAACTCTGAAGCCAGCCCTATCCTGAACCAATCTCATCATCTCTGACAAACCCAATCCCACTTCTCCAGTCACTAAGTCAATCCATCTCATTATGGGTCTTTCTCTCCTGTTCTGTGCCTCCACCCTTCCAAGCATGATGTTCTCCAAGGACTGGTCTCTCCTGGTAATGTCCCAAAACTATGTGAGATAGAAATTAAAAATCCTTGCCTCTAGGGAGCAACCTGGTTTTACTATCTCTAGGACAGACCTGTTTGTTCCCCTGGCAGTCCACGGTATGTTCAACAGTCTTTTCCAGCTCCACAGCTGAAAGGCTTTGATTCGTCTTCTCTTGTCCTTAGTCATTACGAAGACCATGGCCTATAGCAGGTGCGTCTTATTCTCCAGACTGACATTGTTGCTCTTCAGTACTTTAGACAGTCTTTCCCAATGCAATTCATCTTTTGATTTCCTAACTGCTGGTGCCAAGAGTGTTGATTGTGGAACCAAGCAAGCTGAAGTTATCAACAATCTCAGTCTCTTCCCCATCTATCATAAAGCTTCCAATTGGCCCAGTGATGAGAATGTGTTTTCTTGATGTTGAGCTTTCATATTGAACACAGGAGTCCTTGACCTTCTGCAGCAAATGCCTCATGTTCTCCTCAGTTTCAGCAAGCAAGGTTGTGTCATCTACATAACACAGGTTGTTGATTAGTCTTCCTCCAAGCCCCATTCCTCCTCATAAAGTGCAGCCTCCTGAATGATCTGTTCTAAATATACATTGAAAATGTATGGAGATAGGATGCATCTTTGATGCATACCTTTCCTGATCCTGAACCATGCAGTGTTTCCTTTCTCTGTTCTGTCTACTGCTTCCTGGTCCAAGTGTAGGTTTCACATTAGCACAATTAAATGTTCTGAGATTCCTGTTCTTCTCAAAGTTAACCACAGTTTGTTATGATCCACAAAGAAAATGCCTTTGCATAGTCAATGAAGCACAGATAGACAGTTCTCTGGCACTCTCTGCTTTGGGCCAAGATCCATATAACATTGGCTATAATATCGCTAAAGCCATGGCCTCTTCTAAACCCAGCCTGCACATCTGGCAGTCCTCTGCTGATGTACTGTTCCAGTCATTTCTGGATAGTTTTCATCAGGATCTTACGTACGTGTGGTATTAGTGAAATTGTTCAATAATTTCCACACTGTGTCAGGTGACCTTTTTTGGAATCGGAATAAATATAGTTCTCTTCCAGTCAGTTAGCCGGGTAGTTGTCATCCACATTTCTTGGCATAACCTGGTGAGCAGGGCAGCTTCCATTTACTGAAATATGTCAATTGGTATTTCATCAATTCCTGGGTATATCTTTCCAGATACCACCATAAAGCAAATCTCACAATAAAGGGGACCACACAACTATTTTTACTTCCCATTGAATATAAAAGTTTTGTTTATAGTAGAGGAACATTATGCTTGGAAGGGTGGACAGTGCAGGAGAGGAAGACCCCAGATGAGATAGGTTGACTCAGTGACTGGAGAAATGGAATTAGGTCTGTCAGAGACAATGAGACCGGCTCAGGATAGGGCAGGGCTCAGAACTGTGGTTATGTAAGGTTACTGTGAGTTGCAGGCAACTCAATGGCACATACAGTGAGTGACTCTGTGAACAACAGATGTGAACCTTGCTCTCTCCTGCACCATCCTCTCAATCTCTGATATGTTCCAGTCCATTGTTACAATCACTGTGTCATCTTGTTGAGATTCTTCTTCTTTCTCTGACCCTCCACATTTCCCAGCATCATAACGTCCTTTTCTAAAGACTTGCTTCTCTTGATAACATACCCAGGGAAAGTGAGATTTCATTTCTCGCCTCTCTGAAGCACCCTGGTACAATAAAATGTACAGGATAGCATTATGAAAAAGTTTAAATGTTTGGAGAATTACCCAAATGTAATACAGGGATATGAAGTGAACATACAGTATTGGAAAAAATAAAATCAATAAACTTGTTAAATGCAGGATTACCTCAGACCTTCAATTTATGAAAAAGATAATAGGTAAGTGCACAATACAATGAGGTGTGCTTGTACTATTTCAGAGTCCCTGAAACCAGTGGGGAAAAATAAGAAAGTAGAGGTAGATCCAGCAAGTCACCTGACTTGGGGAAGAATAAAGACTTGGGGGCCCTTTGTTGTTAGGTGCTGTCAAGTTGACTACAACTGGTAGCGACCCTGTGAGCAACAGTTCTGACCTTGGCCCTGTCCTGTGCCATCTTCACAGTCCTCGACATGCTAGAACCCATTGTTACTGCCCCTCTGTCATCCATCCCGCTGAGGGATGGGAGGTGTCCCTTGCTAAGGGCTGTGCAGAGCAAGGAGGGTGTCTGACCTTTGCCTGAGCTGCGTGTCTGGCTTTCCTGTCCTTCACAGCCTCGGGGAACCTGCCTCTGCTGCTGAGCCTCCTCTCCTTAGTGCAGCTGCGCAGTGAGTCAGAGCAAGAGCTGGACAGCATGGCCGTGAAGCTGCTTCACCAGGGTGGGTGGGCCACATCTCCATGGCTATTGGTGCGCCTCTCCTACCCTCTACATCCCTTTGGAAGAAGCTCATGAGTCAGTCTGCCCCCATGGGCTTCATCCTAAGGACCTCCCCAGGATTTCCTATACTTGGTTTCTGGAAGTAATTGTGGAGACAAAGGTATTGGTATGTGACAAGCACAGATTTTGGAGTCAGGCAGGCCTGGGCTTGAATCTCAGTTTAGTTACCAGCGCTATCCCTAAGCAGCTGTCTGATCACTGTGAGCCAGAGAGTCCTCAGAGCTCCGAGGTCAGATCTTAGTACTTGACTGGAAGGATTGGGCTAAAGACCAACTGATGGAGGATGGAGGGAGCCTGGCTCAGTGCCCACTGCAGGCCCTCAGTGGACGCCGGCTGCATGGATACATTTGTGCTGGCTTAAGTTTAGTTTGCACCTCATCCCACATGGACTCAGGATCTCATGATCCTGCTCAGAGCCCTCCAGGCCCTTCCAGCTCCTGCCCTAAGCCTCAACAGGCCCTGCCAAAGCTTTGAAATTCATCACCATTTAATGTGCGGCATCCGTAGGAAGAAGTCTTGAGGGGAGGTTACGGTTAACAGTAGAATGACATGTGCTCAGTTGCTCTTGGGTTCTTAGATCACAGGCGAAGACAGGCTTGCTTTTTTCCTCACTGCTCACAAGATGAGTGTCAGTCTCAGAAAAGGCCTCTGGGGGCCAGCTGCCAACTCTGTCTCAGCCTGTCACCAGCATGTCTGTCAAAGCCAGAGGGCCACCAAGCTGTCAGGAGCCCTGGGGCTCTGTGGGACACAGCCAGCCTTCCGAAGGGCCTCTCCTGGGCAGGAATGTCCTCAGCATCTTCACATAACCTTCCAGTGCTTACACTGAACCAGCAAGAATAGGGAGAAACACTGAGGGTTCTGGTTGACCATAGCCCGTTAGGGGTCGGGGTCAGAGAGGTGTGGGCCTGGAAGGTTCCATGGGAAGGAAGGGTTAGACAGAGGATGCAGGGAAGGTGTAGTTCTCAGGAGGGAAGGAATGTGTTGGCAGACATGTCTGTGGTTGCTCCTTCTGTAGTGTAGTCTTTGCCCTGATGAGGCTGGGAAGTGTCTGAGGGATGTCTGATCTTGCCCTGAGAGGTTGAGGACCGGCTTTTGGGGATTTGAACGTATAACTGAATCATGGTGTTGAACAGCCAAGTGGAGATGATGTGGGAGAGAGAATGGCCAGCGGGGCAGCTAGAAGGATTCAGGGTCTGGTTCAACTCAGGGAGGATCAGGGACTCCTGCTGAGGGTGCAGGCTGGTCTCCATGACGTCTGCAGACCTTTGACCCTGGCTTCCGCCAGGCCAGCACTATGATATGATGAATTTGACATCTGAATTGATCGGTCTGTTTCTGCTGATTCAGATGCACAGCTGTGGGTGACATACCTGATATTCATCCAAATGGACTACACTCGTTCCCACTGGCTGTGATGTCCGGGACACTAAGTTTGTTCTTGGTCCCAAGACTGACATCTGAAATTAGCAGTCATGACCGTTGTCTGTCAGAAGTCCAGGTGCTGTGTCCATGAAGGGGTGGAGGGCTGTGCGAGAGGACGTCAGGGACTCTGTCTCTTGCAGTGAGCAAGCTGTGCGGGAAATGCAGCCCCAAAGACATGGACATCCTGCAGCCCTCCTTCAACTTCCTGTACTGGAACCTTCATCAGACCACGCCCAGCAGTCGGCAAAGAGGTGCTGGGGGCCAGACGGGGTTGGGAGAGGTGGGGTGCGTGCCTCCAGTGTCTCCTGCAGGGCCAGGCCAGAGCACCACCAAGGAATGTGGCATAGATTCATTCCCACCCTCTCCGTGTCAGCTGTCTGACTTGTCCTTGTCACTTCACTTCTCAGCCTGTTTCCTCATCTAAGAAAGATTAAAAAAATGACGCCTGCCTCCTAAGATTGACCTAAAGACAAATAGGACATTGAGTGTGAAAGTGATATGAAAAGGACAAAGCTTTTGTTTTGGGGTCTTTGTTGTTGTGAGACACTATCCTGTCAGTTCCAACTCCCAGAAGCCCTACACATACAGAACAAAACACTGCCTGGTCCTGAACATCCTCACAACATCCACTGTGCATGAGCCATCTACCACAGCCACTGTCAGTCCACCTCCTTGAGCAGCTTCCTCTCTTTTGCTGACGCTTCACTTTTTTAACCATGATGTCTCCAGGGAGTGGCCCCTCCTGATTACATACACACAGTATGTAACACAAAGTCACTGTCCTTGCCTCAGAGGAGCATCCTGGCTGGACTCCTTCCAAGACAGATTGGTTTGTTCTTTGGCAGTCTATAAAATAGCCAATATTCTTTGCCATCTCCACAGTTCAAAGGTATCAGTTCTTCAGTGTATCTTACTCATTATCCAACGTTGACATGCCTATGAAGTAACTGAAAATATAGTCTTTAAAGTAACATCTTGCTCTTTAGCACTTCTAAAACTTCTTCAGCAAGCCAGAAAGTCAGGGCTTGGGGGCTCATGGGTCACGCAGTCCTGCCCTGATCTTAAAGACCCTGAGCTCCCACTATGCCATCGGAGGAGCTCGTGGGCCCTTTTCCCAGTTTCTCCCTTTATAAATAAATGGAGATGAGTGTCTGGGCCAGGTGGTCCTAAGGCCCTTCTGGTTCTGACAACCATGACCTTGCAGTGGGGCCCTCCATGCCTCAAGCTGGGGGCTGGGAGGGTTGACCAGTGAGCATGATATGACTGACTGGCTTGAGCAAGGGATACACAGATGTAGTTGGTCTCCTTGCTCATCTCTGGTCAGCAGTCTCACATAGGTTTACCACATCTTTGACATGCTGGGGGTTGGTGAAACTGTGCATTGAAAATTGATGGCAAGGCACAGCTGGACTGACCAGTGGATATCTTGCCAGCCTGGTCTCAAGCTGACTCTTTGGTTCGCTCAGCACATATGTGGGAAACCCTCACGGGTGCTGAGAACCAAGGAGACCTCCCCCCTAAGCTGAATCCTGGGTGACTCGGAGGCCCTGGCCCTGCCCCATCTTACAGCCACCGCGGTGCTCCTGAGCAGCACGGCCCTGATGGAGCTTCTAGAGAAGCTGCTGGCACTCACCTGGGCTGAGGTGGACTCTCCCAAAACCGGAACTGCAATCCTCTGCTCTGCCTGGCTGCTCACCACCTCCCTCTCTACCCAGCAGCACAATAGCAATTTGCAGGTGAGTCTGACCCCTTGCAGGTTCAGAAGAAGGGGTGGCATTCATAGGAATGGTAAAAGTCCTGGGTTCTGGTCTCAGCTCTGGTTTATGACTTGTGTGGTCTTGGTAAAGTATTTAACCCTCTCTGAGATTCCATTTTTTGTTGTTTTTGTGTGCTGTGGCGTTGCCTGCAACTCATAATGGCCCTATGCACAGTGGCTCTGAGCCCTGCCCTATCCTGAGCCAGTCTCACTGACTGACACAACTGCCCTCATTATTATGTCAGTCCATCTCATCCAGGGCCTTCCTCTCCTGTGCTGTCCCTTCCAAGCATGATATCCTTCTACAAGGACTATCTCTCCTGGCAACATACCCAAAGTATATGAGACAGAGTTTCAAAGTCTTTGCCTCCAAGGAGAAACTTGGTTGCACCCTCTCTAGGACAGACCTATTTGTTCTCTTGGCTGTCCATGCTATGATCAATACTCTTCTCCAGCACCACAACTCAAAGGCATTAATTCTTCTTCTGTCATTCTTAGTCATTGTCCAGCTCTCTGATGCATAGCAAATAATTGTGAAGATCATGGCCTGAATTAGAGTCACTTTAGTCTCTAGATTGACATCATTGCTCTTCAGCACTGTGGAGAGGTCACTGACAGCAGATTTTCCTAGTACAATTCATCTTTTGATTTCCTGACTGTTGGTGCCAAGAGTATTGATTGTGGAACTGAACAAGCTGAAAGTGTTGACAACCTCAATCTCTTCTCCATTGGTCATAGAGCTGCCAGTTGGTCCAGTGGTGAGAATCTTTGGTTTCTTGATGATGAGCTTCAATCCATGTTGAAGACTGCAGTCCTTGACCTTCTACAGCAAACGCTTCAGGTCCTCCTCAGTTTTGACCAACAAGGTTATGCCATCTGCATAACACAAGTTGTTGATGAGTCTTGCTCCAATCCTGACACCACATTCCTCCTCTTAAAGTCCAGCCTCCTGCATGATCTGTTCTGCATATACATTGAAAAGATATGGGGACAGGACACATCCCTAGCCCACTCCTTTGCTGATTTTCAACCCTGCCGTGCTTTCTTGTTCTGCTCTGATGCCTGTTTCCTGGTCCAAGTATAGGTTTAGCATGAGCACAGTCAGGTGTTCTGGGATTCCCATTCTTCTCAGAGTCAGCCACAGTTTGTTGTGATCCACACAGTCAGGTGCCTTTGCATAGTCAGTGAAACACAGAGAGACGTTCCTCGGGTATTCTCTGCTTTTAGCCAAGATCCATCCATCTGACCTTAGCTATGATATCCCTAGTGCCATGGCCTCTTCTAAACCCAGCTTATATTTCTGATAATTCTCTGTCAGTATACTGTTCCCATCATTTTTGTATCATCTTCTGCAGGAGTTTGCTTGTGTGTAATGTTAATGATTGTTCATTAATTGCCACACTCTGTTAGCTCACCTTTTTTTTTAAATAAATATCTATCTCTACCAGTCAGTTTCCCAGGTGGTTGTACTCCAGATTTGTTGGCACAATCTGGTGACCATGCAGTGTCTGTCTGGTGTAATATGTCATGTGATATCCCATTAATTCCTGGGGCCTTGTGTCTTGCCAGTTCCTTCAGAGCAGCTTGAACTTCCTCCTTCATCACCATTGCCTCATGGTCATAAGTTGTTTATTAAATTCTGTGTCATCAGCCAATTATTTTTGGTACAGTGACTGTGTTCTTCTCCCATCTTCTTTTGATGCTTCCTTGATCATTCCGTATTCTACCCATAGCATCCTTAAGTATAGCAACTCGAGGCTTGAATTTGTTTTTAGTTCCTTCAACTTAAGAAATGCTGAGTGAGTTTGTTGTTGTTATGTGCCATCAAGTCGCTTGCGACTCACAGCGACCCTGTGTACCAGAGCTCTATATGTTCTTCTATCCTGTGCCAACCTAGCCATCTCAAATGCACTTATTCCCACCTCTCCAGTCACAGAATCGATCCATCTCATCAAAGGTCTTCCTCTCCTTTGCCGCCCCTCCACTCTGCCAAACATAATGTCCCTCTCCAAGGACCAGTCCCTCCTTGCAACATGCCCAAAGTATGTCAGACGAAGCTTCAGAATCCTTGACTCCAGGGAACATTCTGGCTTTACCCTCTCCAGGACAAACCTGTTTGTTCTCCTAGCAGTCCATGGTATATTCAACACTCTTCTCCAGCACCACAGCTCAAAGGCATCAATTTCTTTCTATCAACCCTATTCACTGTCCAACTCTCTGATGCATAGCACGTAATTGTGAAGACTATAGCCTGGTTCAGGCGCACCTTAGTCTCCAGTCTGACATCGTTGCTCTTCAGTACTTTTGAGAGGTCCCTCATAGCCGACTTTCCCAATGCAATTCATCTCTTGATTTCCTGGCTGCTGTTACCAAGAGTGTTGACTGTGGAGCCAAGTAAATTAAAACTGTTGACTATCTCAATCTCTTCACCATCCATACTGATGCTGCCAATTGGTCCAATGGTTAGAATCTTTGTTTTCTTGATGTTGAGCTTCAGTCCATATAGAAGGCTGCAGTCCTTGATCTTCTGCAGCAAGCGCTTCAGGTCCTCCTCAGTTTTAACAAGCAGGGTTGTGTCATCTGCATAATGCAGGTTGTTGATGACTCCTCCACTAATCCTGATGCCACGTATAGCTCAGCGTCTCGGATGATCTGTTCTGCATACAGATTGAAAAGGTATGGAGACAGAATATATCCCTGATGGACCCCCTTCTTGATTTTGAACCATGTAGTGTCTCCTTGCTCTGTTCTGACAACTGCCTCTTGGTCCAAGTATAAGTTTGAACTTGAGTGAGTTAGCTTATTAAAAAAATAAGGGGGAGGAGGGAAACATCTCCGCATTGTTGTCAGTTTAGTTAGATCACCTACATTACGGCAGGCTTCGCTGTAGACACAGGCGTTCAACCAGTGCTGCCTGTAGGGAGCTGTGGTCTCTTAGCGAAGCCTTGAACAGTAAGCGTGGTTGTACCAGGCAGAGACGATGGGTAAGACCTCCTAGAGAGACCAGTGTGAGCAGAGTCTTGCAGCTGTGCTAAGCAGGAAGTGGCACACTCTGAGGAGGTGGTTCACTCGGACAAGGAGGCCAGGGTGGGCCTGGGATCACGACGGGCTGGGTGTGGACATGGTGAAGGAGCTGGCACTGTTGAGAAGATGATACGGGGCAGCAGGGCAGGCATATCCATGAGCAGCTCAGATTCCTCTCCATGGCTGCCAGAAGTCGGGTTGTGTATCAGTGTCATTGGATGCCCTGAACCGGCCCCTCTGTTGATGGCTTCACATTCAGAAGTCTCCTTTCCTAAGCCTGATGCTCCTCAGAGAGAACCATCTCCAGCCTTCCCTGACGTCCCACCCTGTGTCCAGCACGACGCTGGTCTAGTGTCATGAAGTCCGTTCTCAACTTTGGCCTCGAGGGAGGCAGATCAGCATCCACGGCAGTCTGCCGGCAGTGGCAAGGCCTGCAGGTTGTCACTGACGGAGGTGATCTGGGTCAGGACCCTTTTGCTCCTTTTTTGTGTGAGGCTTTTAGGCCTTCTCATACTTCTGCTGGCATAGCGGTAAGGAGTTTCACTGCCAACCCAAAGGTACATGAGTAATCTCCCTCCATGCTATTAACTGCTTGTGAAAAACCACTGGAGGCTCAGCTATGAGTCAGTTCTGACTGTACGGTATATGATAACAACAGTATATCTTGCAGTCACCTCATCTTTGTTCTTCCGTGGCCCTTTAATCACACCTAGCCCATTACTGACTCTCGATTACCTGGACTCAGGCCATCTGCTGTCCAAGCACTGATACCGTCATTCATCCTCACCGCCAGCATGGCTTCCTCACAGGTCCCCTGGCCTCAACCTCTCCCCCCTCTGCATCTGCCTTTAGTGAAGTCGTGATCTGTATTTCTCTGCCAGGCCCCAGCCCTCCACCTGGCAGTGCAGGCCCTGCCAACCCAGCCATTCCATGCCTGCCTTCTTGTCACTATCCCAGCCTTCCCTGTTCTCTGGCCAAGTGTTTGCTCTTCTCCCTATCAGCTGTGCTCTTTCTCAGTTCCAGACATTTTTATTTTGTTATTGTGCTAGGTTTTCTACCACTTTTCACCAGTCAACCAAGAGTTTTAAGCAGCTGCTTATGCCGTGCGGGGGGCACCCAGACAGGGTAGAGGTGTCCCATTCTCAGGCACCTTGTGGAACAGACCGTGGTTCTGCCGCTCTGACTGCTGTTCTGAGGGAGTATCTGGACAGCAAGGAGCGTGCTCACCAGTGTGCCGGGCCTCGGCTCTGAAGGCAGTGACAGCGAGCGCACTCTTCCCCATTTACAGAGGGAAACTGTGAGCAAGCTGAGCAGGGTGCAGTGACCTAACCCTGACCCTGACCCTGACCCTGACCCTGACCCTGACCCTGACCCTGACCCTAACCCTGACCCTAACCCTAACCCTGCCTCACAACTGGAAATGGGTAGGGTCAGGATTGTAAGTCCTGGTGGAGGAGGTCCTGCAAGTGTGCACGACTGGGAGGAGGAGAGTTTCCGGGTGAAAGGGTTACTCCTTCCTCCCAATTCATGCTCCTGAAGCCAAGTCTGAGGGTCTAACGATTCTGGGTGTCCTCCCTGTGCCTCCTGCCTGTCGGTTCATACGCGATTGTTAGCCTTCTACTCTCCACCTGCAGGTTCACCACACACTGTCTGTGGAGTTGGACCAGCTCTTGAATGTCCTTAGCTTTCCCAGGAAACGGGCTGCGTTGTTGTCAGGTGTGTATCCAGGGGCTTCCAGCAGGAGGAAAGCTTTCCCCTCATTTCTCACATGGGACCAGCCAACCCAGCCCAACTTGTGATCCCCCCAAAATGACCTCCACTGTCTGACTAAATGTGACAGAGCTGGGTGGGAGGTGAGGAAGGAGGCAGGGACAGAGTGGGCGGAACCTCTTGCTTCCAGCTGCCATCATCCACTTCCTGCGGACAGCCCTGCGACAAGACTTCAGCTCTGCCCTGGTGACCCTCATGCCCTCAGGGGCCCAGGTGCCACCAACCCCTGGGGACACTGTGCTTGCTCCATTGAGGACATCAAAAGTGCTGTCCTTGGTTGTCAGCCTGCAGAACCTCCTCGTGCAGGTAAGGCCCTTGCTAAGTGGGACCCCAGTAGTAGATCACAGCAGGAAGGGTGGTTTCCCTCCCTGTGGTTCCCTGCCCTGTGTGACCTACCCCCTTAACCACTTGCATGCTAGCCTAACAGAGTGCCTCCTGTCAAGAACCTGTGTCCTATCAGTCCTGGAGGAAGGCTCAGTTATAGTGACAAAAATTCAATGCCGATTGGCTCAGAATGGAAAAAGACAGGTGTCATTACTGGCTTTAGGCACAGCGGGATCTCAGATGCTCAATGTCACCACCTCTTGGTTCTGCTTTACTATCTGCCGGTTTTCTTCTCAGGCAGACCTCCCCAGGAGGAGGTAAAATAGTCCGCAGCAGCTCCCAGCTAATATCCCTCCAACAAGAATCCCATTTCTCTTTCCCAGTAGTCCTCAGAATTGATTCAGTAGCTTGGCTTGGGTAATATGCCAGTCATTCTGGCCACAGGCATATGTTACTTAGCTTAGGCAGGACTGGGTCCTGCCTACTCCTGGAGCTTGCAGCTTGGAGCATAGTCCACGTGAACTGAGGCTAAGAGAGGAACAATTAATTCCTCAAAGGAAAAGTGTTGCCAGAAGATAAGTATTCCAACCTGAAAAAGTTTGTGTTTACAGCTTGGAGGAATCTTGGAGATACTTGGTCACCCAGCCATCACATACTGAGCTTTGGCTCCATAGATGGTCTGCGAAGGAAGCTGAGAGTTAGAAGTGCCTACATGAAAGCATACATAACTTCTCAGAATTAATGCCTGGTAGAGGAGGTGCAGCATGCAGATAAAAGAAACAAACCCACAGCCATGTAGTCATAGCAGCCCTCCAGGACAGAGCAGAACTGCCCTACTGGGTTTCCAAGTCTGTAAATCTTCACTGAAGCCGACTACAAGCTCTCTTTCCCACAGAGTGACTGGTACATTGTGAACTACCAGCTTTTCTGTTACTCGCCAGACCCGTGGGCCACTATGCTAGCAGGGCTCCTGCTAGTGTAGTTAGAATGTGCTAACACAGTGTGGTCAGTACTGTGTTAAGGGGAAGGTTTGGACTGTTAACATACTCAGCTGTTGTTGTTATGTGCTGTTGTTATGTGCTATTGTTGTTGTTATGTGCCGAGTCGCTTGTGACTTACAGTACAACAGCCCTAAACTCTGCTCTGTCCTGTGCCAGTCACACTGTCTCCGATACACCCATCCCAATTATCCCAGTCACTGAATCAGTCTACCTCATAGAGGGCCTTACCCTCCTGCACTGTCCCTCCACCCTACCAAGCATGATGTCCCTCTCCAGGGACCGGTCCCTCCTCACAACATGTCCAAAGTATGTTAGACAGAGCCTCAGAATACTTGCCTCCAAGGAGCCGCCCTGTTTAACCCTTTCCAGGATGGATCTGTTTGTTTTCCTAGCAATCCAGGGGTACCCTCAGTACTCTTCTCCAGCACCACAGCTCAAAGGCATCAATTCTCCTTCTATCCTCCTTGGTCATTGTCCAGCTCTCTGATGAATAACAAGTGATAGCAAAGGCTCAGCTACTGTCCAAAAATTTGGAGGTCAGAATGCAGGCAGAGGCACCTTGAAAGAAAGGTCTGGTGATCAACTTAAAAAAAACAGCTCTTGAAAATCTTGTTGTTGCTAGGTACCATCAAGTCAAATGTGACCGATAACGACAGATCTGAACCCTGTTCTATCCTGTGCCGTCCTCACACTTCCTGACGTGCTAGTGCCCATAGTGGCAGTCACCATGTCAGTCCATCTAGTGGAGGGTCTTTCTCTCTTTCACCGACCCTCTTCCTTTCCAAATTTAATGTTCTTCTCCAAGGAGCAGCCCCTCCTAGCAACATGCCCCAAATACGTGAGGTGAAGCCTCATCATCTTTGCCTCCAAAGAGCACTCCAGATGCACCCTTTCCAAGACATACTTGTTTATTCTGTTGGCCATCCATGGGATGTTCAGTGCTCTTCTCCAATACCACAGCTCAAAGGCATCAATTCTTCTGTCATACCTATTCATTGTCCTGCTCTCAGATGCATAGCAAGTGATTTGAAAGACCATTGCCTGACTCAGACACTTTAGTCCTCAAACTTGACATCATTATTCCCCAATAATTTGGAAAAGTCTCTAAACTGCAGACTTGCCCAGTGCAGTGCGTCTCCTGATTTCCTGATGGCTGGTACCAAGGGTGTTGATTGTGGATCCAAGTAAGATGAACTTGTTGACAGTTTCAATCGTTTCTCCATCTATCATGATGTTGCCTATTGGTGCAGTGGTGAGAATCTTTGTTTTGGCTGTCTGGGGATCCTCACTCTCCCAGCACAATGAATCCAGCAGCATCACGACTGACATCCTACAGGGGCCTGGCCCATTGATCACTAATCTCTGTAACACCAGCCAATACCTTCTGTTGAGTCAACATTTCCCAGGGTGAAAGTGGATCACTCCCATCAATCAGGGATGAGCCATGTGAATCATATGGACCACGTGGACCTCAATACTACGTCATCCTCATCCCTCTCCCATGGTGACATGACGATGATGAACGTGCCTGTGACCTACTTTGGCCTAAGAATGCAGAGCTATCGTTTTCTGGTTTAGTCATCAATACAACTGGAGAAATGGCTAGAGCTTTTGTAGCAGTGTTTTTATTAGCAATGTTCTGTGAAGGACTCAAGATAGCCTGAGAGAGATTGTTGCACAAGTCACAAGTCAGCATCCGCTGTAATTCCATGCCTGTCCCAGAGCCAAATGGAACGATCCTTCTGGAGACACACAGAACTGTTGGGCGGCAGATGCTGAGCTTTCCTCACCTGCACAACGTGGTGCATGTCATCCAGGTGATCATCAGCTGCTTCCTCATGCTCATCTACTTGACCTACAGTGGCTGCTTGTGCATGGCTGTCGCAGCAGCGGCCAGCTCAGGCTATTTTCTCTTCAGCTGGAGCAAAGCAGTACTTGTGGACATCACTGAGCACTGTCATTAACATCAGACTTCCACGATGTGGCCTGATCAATTGCAACAGGAAGCAGTTTGAAACATGATTCCTCCTCCTTTCTTTTCTTGCTCCTTGTCTTCTTACACACACACACATAACAGGCAATAGGCTCAACATCCAGTAGTCTGTCTTGAGTTCAAATAGCAATCTCCGCAGACTTTTTCCCTCCTAATCTGAGATTCCCATTTTGAAGATACTCCAACCATGAGCTGTCATTTCCTCCCTATTTTAGATTCAAGCTCTATGTTCCTGACTAATCCAGGTAGCTGACATGATTTCCTGTTTCACTAACATGATCTCCTGATATTTTTTTTTCATTTGAGGAGTTTTTAGGAGGTTGATTTGTTTTGTTTTTAAAAACAGATGTTGTAAATTTGGTTTTTTTCTGGGTGAATGTTCTTTATTTCAGCCAGAATTGATAGTATCCGAGGAGAGTTCTTAACCAACTAAATCTGTAACCCAATTAAAGAAAATTCAGTTTGGGAGCTCAATTACTAGGGGTAGGGGAGAATCTTTGTTTTCTTGACATGGAGATGTAATCCATATTGAAGGCTGTATTCTTTAATCTTCTACAACAAGTGCTTCAAATCCTTCTCACTTTCAGCAGGCAAGGCTGTGTCATCTGCATGATGCAAGTTGTTGATGACCATGATGCTGCATTCTTCTTCGTAGAGTCCAGGTTCTCAAATAACTTGCTGCATTTTTCTTCAGAAAGTCCAGGTTCTCGAATAATTTGCTCAATATACAAATTGAATAGGTGTGGAGAGAGAATACAACCCTGAAGTTGTAAACCATGCAGTGTTCTTTCGCTCTGTTCACACAACAATCTCTTAGTCCAGGTGCTCTGGGATTTCCATTCTTCTCAATGTCAGCCATAACTTGTTATGATCCACACAGTCAAATGCTATGAAACACAAAATACTATGGAACACCATTCTGCTATAGCTCACTAAAGGTGTGTATTAGCTGTGATAAACTTGACATCATCTGATTAGAGATTGGTTATATTCCCTAATTATCACAGGCCAGATACCCTGGTGGGGGAGAGGGAAATCCATGACTGTCAGTCAGTACCCATGATGATATTAAAGAATATTTGCTATAAAAGGAGATGGTGGGCTGTGGACATATGGAAGGGACTCAGTAGTCTGAGTGTACAGTGCATGAAGTTCATTGTCAGAGGATTTGTGGGGGAGTTACTTGAGCTGGGCTATGAGTATCAGGTGACTTGTGCTAGGTACCCAATCCCAGTGGGCATCAGAGGTGGACTTTATCTTGACTGCAGCACCTCTTTCCACCCTTGAATCCTGGGACACCTCTTTCAAAGAGCTATAATTTCAAAAAAAGGCTTGGTCACTGCAGAGTGACTTAGGTCTCAGATGTTGATATAATTTCAAAAAAAGGCTTGGTCACTGCAGAGTGACTTAGGTCTCAGATGTTGATGTCATTTGAATTAGTCATGGATTCTCTTTTACTGCTTTTTCAGATCCTGTCTGGAGAGTCACATATCCTTATGGTCTGATCTGATGTCAGGGTGTTGATGAGGCAAGAGGAGGTGGGAGAGGCTAGCAAATGAGTGTGAGGATGGCCTGAGGGCCTTGGTTTGAGTAAACTCCACTCAGTGCACATGTGTGATGTAGCTATTGACTGGTGGAATTCTGCTCAAGGACTCAGACCATATAGGCCTGCACACAGGTTATAGGATGCTGGGACATAGAAGAAGACAGAGAATGCCCCAGGAACAGGCCCTGTGCTGGGTCCAGGGCTGCTGAGCCTTTTTCCAGCCAACACATTTATGATCAGGTTCTGTGTTCTTTGTGGGCCAAACCTCCAGCACATGATGACCGTTACTGCTCTCTGATGGAAGGCTCCCCATCAAGGGCAGAGATTGTGTCTGATGAATCTCCATGACTCTCTCTCATGGGTTCAGAACCACTTGAGAAGTCCAGAGTCAGATGGCAATTCAAACCTCACCTTTCTCGCTGGTGAACCCCACAGTGGAACA